TAAATGTTCATTTTAATTTTATCTTTTCAAAATTATGACCATTTCCCCATTTTTGTTGTGTAGGTTAGCCTGTGCGGCACGCAGATCTGGTGGTGCACCGAGGTCAACATGGCCTTCGGCAGGCTCGAGGAGGGCTACGAGAACGCCCTCAAGGACTACCAGAAGAAGCAGGTGTCGCAGCTGAGCACGCTCATCTCACTGCTGTTGGGCGAGCTGAGCAAGCAGGACCGCCAGAAGATCATGACCATCTGCACCATCGACGTGCACTCCCGGGACGTGGTGGCCAAGCTGATCCAGGCCAAGGTGGAGACGGCGGCCGCCTTCCAGTGGCAGAGCCAGCTTCGTCACAGGTGAGTAGTCGGGTCGGGACCTCCGAAGGGACCTCGGGAGTAACACGATGATAAAGTCGAACTCATGTGGACGCAGGTGGGACGAGAAGGAGAGGGACTGCTTCGCCAACATCTGCGACGCGCAGTTCGGCTACTCGCACGAGTACTTGGGCAACACGCCGCGCCTCGTCATCACCCCGCTCACCGACCGCTGCTACATCACGCTCACGCAGGTGCGTGGCGAACATCGAACTCGATGCATCGAATCTCGATATAGGATCGCTAAATTCGAGAACGTCGCAATGTCGAGGAAGAAACGTCGAAAAATAACACGCAAAATATTTTGACGATATTTATCGAGGCCACGATACGTAGATATCGATAACGGGAGGAAGACATCGTGCCGATATATCGAGATATCGCGCCTCCCTTTACGGGCGCCTGCGAACTCGGGGGTAGGCCACCGGGCGGGTTCCGCTGCCCGGCGGTCCGCCGAATTGCCTATCCTCGACTTGGCAGGCGCCTCCCGCTATACTCACGGACCTGCCTGCCTTTCCCTTCCAGTCGCTGCATCTGGTCATGGGGGCCGGCCCCGCGGGCCCGGCCGGCACGGGCAAGACGGAGACCACCAAGGACCTGGGCCGCGCGCTCGGCATCATGGTGTACGTGTTCAACTGCTCCGAGCAGATGGACTACAAGGTAACGGGGGACGGCCATACTTCCATCGCGGCGACTTGCGCTGCCTGTGTTCGGTGTTATTTTGCAAAGCGTGCAGTGACCGTGATCGCCCTTTGCCGTGCAGTCGTGCGGCAACATCTACAAGGGCCTGGCGCAGACCGGCGCCTGGGGCTGCTTCGACGAGTTCAACCGCATCTCGGTGGAGGTGCTCTCCGTGGTCGCCGTGCAGGTCAAGTCCGTTCAGGTGAGCCCAGAGTCGTTCAGTGAACACACACCTCATTTTTTTTCATTTTATTTTACAATATAATAATTGGCTGGATTGACCGTTTGGTGTGCGCAGGACGCTATCAGGGACAAGAAGGACGTGTTCAACTTCATGGGCGAGACGATCGCGATGGTGCCGACGGTGGGCATCTTCATCACGATGAACCCCGGGTACGCGGGCCGCACGGAGCTGCCCGAGAACCTTAAGGCCCTCTTCAGGTGATCAGCCGACCTCTGCCCAGTGACTTTTTCTCACCCGGGGGGGGGGGGGGGTATCAAAATAAGCATCGCGTCACACTCCAACCTCTGCCGCAGGCCGTGCGCCATGGTGGTGCCCGACTTCGAGCTCATCTGCGAGATCATGTTGGTGGCCGAGGGCTTCCAGGAGGCGCGCATCCTGGCCAGGAAGTTCATCACGCTGTACACGCTGTGCAAGGAGCTGCTGTCCAAGCAGGACCACTACGACTGGGGCCTGCGCGCCATCAAGTCCGTCCTGGTGGTGGCTGGCTCGCTCAAGGTACCCGGGCGCGACGATGCTCCACCCGACGCTACTCTTTTTTTCTCGAATCACTTTTTATTAAACTTTTTAACTGCTCACAAATTTTTATTACGTGTGCGTTTATTAAGTCACGTTGCAAGGTATTCTATTGCGACCATATTTTCTCTTCATCCTCTTCTTCTAGATCTAGTTTTGTTCGTCTTTATTTGTACTTTAATCCAGGTTTCTCTTGTACTATAGCTTTCTTGTACTGTATATGAAGCTTTGACTCCTTTTTCCTTCTCGACCTTTCCCTTGTAGACAATTTTTCCTTCTTTATGTAAATTTCCAGCAGGCTGTACTTCGCAATTTATTTATTTTTGTAAAATGCCGCGGCTGCTAGTGGGTGTGAAAAAGGCAAACGTGTACTGCTACACTCACAAAATTGTTTTCTTGTGGTGCGTGGAAAGCTGGGTGAGAAACATGGAAATATTCGGAAAGGAGCATTCAAACATATGGTCTCAGGGAAAAGTCAAATAAAGGCTACAGGAGGCTCACATACGGTTCACCCAGTTACATTTAAACATGCAACAATTCTTATAATTTTACTGCTTTTTCGCATAGTTATGAGTTATGTTTACGTATAATTCCAACAACTGTAGATTGGATTTAATATAATTGCTGTGTAGATTCCTCGAGTTTTCCTAAACTGTTGACTTACTTTGCTCTAGCTGTGTGCAATTTGTGTGCAATTAATGCTTTATGTGTGCCCCTTCCGACTGTTTCCGTTTGTTTCCGCTTTGGGCGTAGCGCTGACGCACAACAAAAATATTTAACTGATTCTTATTGACGAAAACAATCTCATAAAAGTCGTCTCTTTTTCGGCCGAACGCGTTGAAATCTTGAGCTTTCCGCTTACTGTGGGAACAGGCCGTTAAATCCGCTGCTGTGTCCGTCTATGCTTCGGGACGGGGGTCACGGGCTCGTTGTCTGTCTCACTACTCTCTCATCATTTAAAAAATCAATAACAGTAGGTTTTTGGCCTGTTTTTTTTTTAATGGTACATTTTGAGAGACTTTTTTTTTCGGACGGCGCGCCCGCCCCTCCCCGCTCCTCCGCTAGGCAAGCGTAACTTTGCTTCTTGTTGCGTCGTGGAGAAACTCATGCCGCGCTCTGAGATGGTGGTCGAGTTGGACGTGGAGACGGGCCGGCCGCGCCGGGGAGGCGCCGTACCGCAGGTAAGGACCGGGGACCGAAGGCCCGGGGAACACATTTTGAAAAAGGAAAAAAAAAACTCGATGTCAAAAAATGAATGAATACTAAAATGTTTTTGCGGTTGAAAAGAAAAGAGTTTAAAAACCTTTTACGCAGTTTTAGGCTTTGGCGGAGAACTGTGCTACCGTTCGAATGTGTTTTTTTCTCTCCTTCTCTTTTTTCGGTAGAGAGTGTGTGTAACTGAGTAGCTGCTGGAGAGTGACCTTTGTTGCACCGTGTTCAGCATGTCACCTGACGCTGGTAGAGACCCCCACCACACAGCATGGCGCACTGTTCCTCCTCCACAACTCCCGAGTGTCAGGTGAACCGGATGTCAGAGCTATCACAGGTATGCCGCCTCATGTACTTTCCTCTGACCGTAGGTCCGAACATTGTCCTAAAAAAAGCTCAACGGGATTAACTGCAGAAAGCAAGTCCTTCTTAAATAAGAAAACGACGTTTTTTGACTCACCCGGTAGCTTGCATTTTTTTTGTCATGAGCACCGGCATGGAATAAAACGAACCGCGGGATAACTAAACACAAGAAATAACTCTAAACCGACAGCACAGATGAGGGATTTTCCAGAAAGTATGTCCGTTTTTCTCAGATTTGTTCGTCAAATCAGCCTGCGAGACTTAGGGTGGGCCACCCCGCAATACACCTGTGCACTGTCGGCAAGTTGTTGCCTACCTGTCAGGCGCCATGAGAGTTCACACGGGCTGAACTGGGCAGGTTCGCAACGGCGAATGACGGGCGTACTTTCTGTCCGATCCGTAAAGGTCGTTAGTCGTGGTGAAAACCACCGGCCGCATGTGCGCGCTCGGGTCTGACGGCCACGTGTCGCGTCCCGGGGACTGAGGCCCGCACGGCGCGCTCCTTTGCAGCGGGGCGACCCCGGGCGGCCCGAGGAGGAGGTGCTGATGCGCGCGCTGCGCGACTTCAACATCCCCAAGATCGTGACGGACGACGTCCCCGTCTTCATGGGGCTCATCGGCGACCTGTTCCCGGCGCTGGACGTGCCGCGCAAGCGGGACATGGACTTCGAGCGCACCGTCAAGCAGGCCGCCCTGGACCTGCTGCTGCAGCCGGAGGACAACTTCATCCTCAAGGTCTGACTTTTACCTTTAACACGATTTTTTTTCTTTTGCCTCTTTTAAGAAGACTTTGCGTACTTTGCGAAATTGTACATGGAACATTCATCGAACTTATTTTTAAAT